AAAAAAAAAAAAAAAAAAAAACACAAAAAACAAACCAAAACAAACAAAAAAAGCATTGTATAGCTGTAACCAAATTTATTTAAGCAATTTTCTGGTGCTAGGTGTTTCAGATGCTTCAGATTCTTAGGTATTTTACATGAGAACCATACAGTTACTTCAATACCCAGCAATATCTCCCACCTTTGAATTAGGACAACCTGTGTTCCGTCCGACACACCTTAGCATGGAGCCTGTGTGTCACTGCTCTCGGGAAACTGTCTTGTGGGTGGTGGGCTGTTCTCAGGTCCAGGACTGTACTGCACACATTCCTGGGAGCCACCAAGCAACTGGTATACTCAATACATGATAACTGCTTTGACCCAGCCCCCTTAGATTGTATGAACCTGATCAGCTCCATTTTCTAAGGGTCAGGATTACAGGTGCCCACTATGGCCCAGTTGGAAATTTTGCTTCTTCTCTGGCCACTGCATAGGTACAAAGGTTCCCTGTTATTCAATCACGACTTCAAGACCCAGTCCCCTCCACATGAAAGTCTTGAGCTTCAAGCAAGATCACCATGGCTAAAGCTTCTCCCAACTTGACTAAAGCTTCACAGCACTCATGACCCTGGCAATCACCAAACATCTGTACCCACCCCAGGGCTGCATGGTGGAAACAGGGCCCAGGCTCTGGTGCCAGACAGTCAGGGTTCCAATCCCAGGCATGGCAGTGGTCTGGCAGGGTAGCCAGAGGACTGCTTGGGTTCCTTGGTGGGTATGGTCCCCAGGCAGTGCAGGGGAGCTGGTCGCAGCATGCCCCCTCCTAGCCACCCTGCACACTTCACCTGATGCAAGGTACCCACTCTTCAGCTCACAGAAATGCGCCCTGCCTTGCAGAGGCACCTGACCTTCCAATCTCCAGTCCACAGAGGTTGAAGTTCAGGGGTTTCTCAACATGGCCTTCCAGGCTCTCCGCCTGCCGGGCACCATCCCTCACCACCTGCCCAGTGCTGCTGTGGCAACTGGGCAGGGCCTCTCCAACTCAGGCACACCTCCGCCACTGCCTGGAGTGACTATCTCCCGAAACATCCTCTCTCAAACAGCACCCACTCCCTAAGCAGCTTCCCTGATGCCCCTGGGGGGAATTCAGTTTTCCTGCCCCTCCACCTTTCTACTCTTACCATATCTGAATGAAGTGGAGCCGCTGTGTCCCTCTCCCATGACACTTTTATTTAGTTAGTTGGTTTTTAGATGGAGCCTCGCTCCGTCACCCAAGCTGGAGTGCAGTGGCAAGATCTTGGCTCACTGCAACCCCCACTTCCTGGGTTCAAGTGATTCTCCTGCCTCAGCCTCCCAAGTAGCTGGGATTACAGGCGTGTACCACCACTCCCAGCTAACTTTGAATTTTTAGTATGTTTTAGTAAGTTGGCCAGGCTGGTCTTGAACTCCTGCCCCAAGCAATTGGCCGACCTGCTTCAGCCTCCCAAAGTGCTGAGATTACAGCCATGGGCCACCATGCCCAGCCCCCTGTGACATTTTGAAGCAGGGGTACGTGTTACTCACCACAGAGATCTGTCGATTTGCACTGAACCCTCCATTGGAAAGCAGTGAGAAGCACACCCAGCACAGACCTGGCTGGCTGACACCCAGAGAAGGTGCATTTGCAAGGGAAAGGACTTAGGTCCCACCAGCTTTTGGGAATGAGCAAAAATTAAAAATAATAGCTGCCATTTACTGAGTTCCCTGCATACCAAACACCTTACAGACAATCCAATTACTCTTAATTACCTTGATGAGACAGACACAATTACCATTCCAATTTTACAGATGAAGACACTGAGGCTCTGAGAGGTTAAGCAATCTGCTACAGTACCAGGTAATTGGCTGGCAGAGTAGGGATTCAAATCCAGGCCCATGTGACTCAAAGCCTAGCTCTCAACCGCAGTCTCAGTGGAGAGCCTTGAACAACCATATTACCGCCCAGTACGGAATTCCAGAATTCCTTCACTGAGGGCTCACAGTCATCAGCTCACTAGCTTAAGGCTTCTTCCAAAGGCCTCCCTCCAATACCAATGACAATCTTCAGTGAGCCTGCTGAGAAAGGAAATGCCTCTCACCTTAGTTAAGCTCAGGAAACGTTTCCACCCGTTTACAAAGTGCCTGACACTGCTCTGGGCTCAGGGGCGGGGCAGGGTAGGGGGACGCAACCAACCACAGAGTCCCTGCCCTCTACAGATGCTGAATGGGTGATACAGAGGAGGAGGGGAGAAAAGGTGGATGAGGGAAGGCGGAGGGCTTCCTGGAAGAAGCAGTGATCAAGCACATCCTGAAGGCTGAGAGTCTCTCCATTTCCTGGACCGCCTCTCTGTCTCAGAGAAAGCTGTGCAGTCCAGACACACCTGGTGAGCAGCTGCTTACAGAAACTGGAAAGGCATTCTCTCTGTGACTTTGCTGAGGAAGTAACCACCACGGAAGGAAGCAATCCTTTGTGAGACAGACAGACAGACACACACACACACACACACACACACGCACACCCCTACCTGCCTGTGAAATTCCTCTCCATGTACCTAACTTCAATTCTGCCTGCCTATCTGCAAGATCATCCCCAAGGCAGGACTGTGCTCCAGTCTTCTACAGCGGTGCCTGCACTCCAGGGGTGAGACACATGCACCCACGCACAGACACACACATGCGCACACACACTTGAACACAAGCACCCACACATAGGCACACACACACAGGTAACTGCACTGTATCCCCTGCTGCCCCTTGCACTTGGTGGACGGTCAATAAATATCTGCTGAATTTAATTATATGGGATCGTTTGCCTAAATGCTTGGGAGTGTTGGGGTGACTGAAGGAATAAAATGCCCTGGCCAATTCAAAGCAAATAATATATATGACACAATTCAAGAAAAAATAGTGGAGTGTAAAGGGGTCTCTCGGCTGAGTAACCTCAAAGAAACCCATTTTGTCGTCTCCACCCTTCTTCACGCAATTACCGAGGCTAGCCATGCCCAGCAAGCATCATTCACCCCAGGGAGCCTGTGAAGCTTTAACAAGATAACATTCAGGAGGCGCCCAGCACAGGGCGCGGCACACAGATGCTACTTAGCCAGGACCAGCTCTGTATTTTCACCTGGTCCAAGGGCACACACATTAGGTCATCAGCAGTCAAAGAACAAGCAGGCAGGTCCCATCACTCAGTGGTTTTCAAACCTCTTTGACCAGGACCCATAGTAAGAAATGTCTTACACAAACTACACACTGTTACAATGAAAGTTCCACAAAACACATCCTCAGGATGAGGTTGCACACTGATGCTTGTGTCTTTCATCTCTTTCTATTTCATTTCTAAGCTGATCTCACAACTGCTTCCAGGGAAGTTGGGAAAAGCCCTGCCCTCACTCACCCAGAGTATCAGAGCCGCTCTCCACCGTCTCGTTGACCTTCCTTGCTACTCTGGCCACGGCCTCACCCATCTTCTTCAGCATGCAGACACAGGTGTCCTGCTGCCAGCCCCCAGGCTGGTCTGCTGCTCACAAAAGGGCCTGAGCCTGGGGAAGATGCAGTGTCATGAAGTGCCCGCCTGCCAGCCAGGGGCCCACCCAGACATCCCCCTCCAGCATCCTTCTCCCCCAGGACCCAGGCTGCTAGGAAGCCTGCAGGGAGGGCCCCAGGCCACTCACTTCCTCTTGCAGGGCCCAGAGCTCAGGCCACGTCCAGCTTGGCCTTTGCACAGGCTGGTCTGCCAGTCAGAGGGTGGAGGCAGCTGGGTCCTACTGGTTTTCTGGGAGGATCAACATGCGTGACCTCATCAGACACAAGGACCAGGCCTGAACCAGCTGCCAGGCAGGTGTGAGGACTCATGGGTGTGCTGGCCTGTGATTCACTTAATAGGCGGGCACTGGGGAGAAGGTAGGCGTAGCCAACTGCCGGAGAAAGACACCTGTCCCTCCATCCCACAGCCTCAGAGCTGGTGCCCTATCCACGCACCCCCAGGACAATTCCCCCAGCTTCCCTGTTCACCCCACACATATCTGCCTTGTGCATGGCAGGAAGTGGGGATATGAAGGCAAATCAGAGCCCTGTGAGCCCATCAGAACACATGGACTGGCAGTGGGTGGTCTCTACAAATTCCTTTCCCATGTGCCAATAGGAAGGAGAGGTTATAGTACTAGCCTGCAGACCTGATTATCAGCCTGATGCTGAGTTTATCTGCAAGAAAAGCAGGGGAAGGGGGTAGGGATGGAAATGAGAGAAGAGAAATTGGATCACTAGGGGAGAAGAGGCTGAAAGAAAGGTGAGGAAGACAAAATGATATAAGGACTTGCAAACACCCTCAACTCCCTGTTTATTACAGAGAAGGAAACAAGGGCCCAGACAGGGGCTAGGTGACCTAGCCAAGGTCAAAGTGAGTCAGCAGCAAGAATCGGGTCAGCCCAGCTCCATAACCAGTGCTCACTTCTTTACAAAAATCACCCACATCACCAACAGCAGCACCCCATGGAGAGAGGAATGAACTCGAGTCCAAGGTCAGCACCACTCTTTGCCCCCAGACCCCAGTCCCAGCTTCACAGACAGCTCAGGGAGCTCCAATGAACTCACCCCAAGGGCCAAAGGCAGAAGAAGGTGAAGGGCAGAGAGAAGGGGCATGGGGACAGTGCTAAGAGCTGACAGTCACCAAGAAAAAGTTCCCATGTGCTCAACTGGACAAGCAGGGCAGGCAAGGCCAAGACAGGGCTGGTCAAGCCCACCCATCTTCTTTGAGGAGTTAGTGTGAGTTTAATATATGTGTGCATTTCCACTAAGGAGGCTGGCACTAAAGGTTTGAGACACATGCCCATGGTGCAGTGAGAAAAGGCTGATTTTGGAGACAGGCCAAATGCTCAACTCCCCCATTTATTAGCTGAGAAGTCTTGGGAGAGTTTCTTAACTACTCTGAGCCTGTTTCTTTATCCGAATATGAGATCTAGTAATACCCAACTTGCTAGGTTAATATGAGGATTGAACAAAATATATATACCTGTCTAGCTCAGAGCCCAGGACATGTAAATAATCAATAAACGGTAGCTGAGAGGATAAGCAGCGCACATGTGGATGCAACACCAGCATCTAACCCCAGTTTAATACTCATGTGACTCTGAACAAAACACTTAGGGAACTCATCTTTGAGGAATGAGTGGAATTTCTATCTCTCCACCTCCAGGAAATCTCCTCTGATTGCCTCAGTGTTCTCTCTTCCACCTCTGAGTTTCAGTAGCACTTAATGACTTAGCACAAGTCACCTGGATTATTTATGAGCTTTTAAATATACACTTGTCAGCCATGTGCAGTGGCTCACGCCTATAATCCTAGTACTTTGGGAGGCTGAGGCAGGCAGATCACTTTAGGTCAGGAGTTGGAGACCAGCCTGACAAACATAGTGAAACCCCATCTCTACTAAAAAAAAAAAAAAAAAAAGCCTGGGCACAGTGGCTCACATCTGTAATCCCAGCACTTTGGGAGGCCAAGGTGAGTGGATCACCTGGGATCACGAGTTCGAGACCAGCCTGGCCAACGTGGTAAAACCCCGTCTCTACTAAAAATACAAAAATTAGCCAGGTGTAGTAGCGGGCACCTGTAATCCCAGCTACTCGGGAGGCTGAGGCAGAAGAATCACTTGAACCCAGGAGGCAGAGGTTGCAGTGAGCTGAGATCATGCCATTGCACTCCAGCCTGGGCAATAAGTATGAACCTCTGTCTCAAAAATAATAATAGTAATTAGCCAGACATGGTGGCTCACGCCTGTAATCCCAGCTACTTGGGAGGCTGAGGCAGAATTGCTTGAACCCAGAAGGCGGAGGTTGCAGTGAGCCGAGATCACACCATTGCACTCCAGCCTGGGCGACAAGAGTAAGGCCCTGTCTCAAAAAATAAACAAATAAACAAACAAACATACACCTGTGGCCCCCATTGGCCTGTGGGCAGCTTGGAGGCAGGGAATAGATCTATATTGTGCTTCCCCCCACACACTGAGCCCAGGTGCTCAGTTAGTATCCCCCAATGCTGATGATCAACAGACATCATTTGTGTTTCAAATCTGAATACAGGTCAAGAGGCTCTTACAACAAATCTAAGACACTGTCTAAATTGAGAAGGGTCAAAAATCCAAATGCCTAACAGTGCCAGGTGAGCAACCTGCATAAGGCGAGCCAGTGCAGGGCAGCAGGGAATAGAAAGGACTGTGGCAAACTGGACCCAACAGGCTCACCATGCTGCCTCGAAGACCGTATCCCTAAGCCTAAATCATAGCCATGTTGCTGACATCTTGGTGATTTGTTCTAACCCCTTTATGAATGGGAAAGCTGAGGACCCAAAAGGGGAGGCAAATCAGCTAGATGAAAACAAAAAACCCAGGTCTTCTAAGTCCCAGCTTAGGACTCTTTCCACCATACCATGCTCCGTCCTTTCTCCATCTCCAATTCATCATCAATAATCACAAACATGCCGGGCGCGGTGGCTCAAGCCTGTAATCCCAGCACTTTGGGAGGCCGAGGCGGGTGGATCACGAGGTCAAGAGATCGAGACCATCCTGGTCAACATGGTGAAACCCCGTCTCT